GATCAGCTTCTCGCAAACGCGTAGGGCTTTGGACCTGGGGAGGGGGCCAGTGTGTTACTCCACGCAAATGCAAGACCAGGCTCACGAACAAGGAGGTGTGGGGGACTAAACCTACGTGAACGCGTAGAGTACCTCACGATCCCATAAGCTAAATAGGCAATGCTCTTCGCGAACGCGTCAGGTTTCTCGCGGTCGCGATGAACACCTGACGCCCAGACATTTAAACATTTCAAAAATGGTATTTCATCCATTTTTCACAAACTTTCCATTAGAGCTCGGTCTAGAGGCTATTTTGAAGAGAAAACTCATCACCAATTCATAGGTTTACACTTTAACTCATTTTCTTCCTTTTATAACATCACCCATTAATTTTTAATCTTAATCTTTGTTCTTCCATGGTAGAAAATTAGGGATTTAGGAAGAATTGAGGGTTTTAGAAATTCGGGATTTAAACCTCAATTTGGGATCGGATTTCGACACTAATCATATAATCGGGAAGTGAGTACTCGTTTTAGTTATGATTCATATTCTTCTTTTGAAGTTTGATTATGTTGACACTGGATAATCATGATATTTTATAGAACTTGTGTTTACGCCAAAAAGGATAATGCATTACAACCTCTGTTTGAATTTGGTGTATTGCATGTCGGCAAGAAGGAGTGGTTCCACAAGCTTGCCTACAAAGGTCAATCCATAACTGATTCGGTACGTTAAAGTAAAATACATCGAATATTTAGGTATAATTATTTCCAATTTAGGAGTATTTATTTGGATAGAATGAATGTAAAAGAACAATAGTTTTGTTTTGGGGGCATAAATGAAGTATATGTTGTGATTATACATGATTTTATAAATATCCTTTTTGTATTATTGACAGCATGTGGACGTCTTATTTTACTATTTGAGGAAAAGGGGCAAATATGATCCTGATGTTCACATCAAGTTCACGAGTACAGATTATCTATTTGATCTAAAGATTAAGGCTCTGTATAAGAAATTCATTGCACGCAATAGAAACAACCTTTTTTTGAACCTGAGCACGATATTGCCCGTTACATTCTTGGTAATGAAATGCTTTGTAACAGCCCGTGGCACACCGTCGACCACGTCTTATTCCCCATAAATATTGTATACAATGATTACTGGGTATTGGCAGTACTGTCTTTCAAAGAAAGATGCATATTTCTTTTATGATTCAAAGGAAGATGCATCTCACAAATCCAAAGTTCGCAATGGAGTAGACGCATATGCTGCTATTATCCCATACTTCTTGTGCACTCTTGGTTTTTATGGCAAAAGGAATGATATCGAATTGAATAAGGGATCATATAAAGATAAGACAAAGGAAGAACCATTTGATGTTGTTATGGTTGATGGTTTGCCAGTGCAGCAAGACGCATAAGTCATATGAGTAATATACTTGTATATTATACTTTTAGAGTACAACATAATTTTTTTAGTGTGCAATGAATTTTTTTACGAAAAACTTTGTATGCTTTAAATGCAGAGAATTGTTGAAAACCAAAGAAAACTTATGCAGACAGAAGAAATATGGAGGAACTCAATGATTTTATTAAAACGAATATGGCTATATATAGCCTTACATAACCGACGTCTAAAGCTAAAACTATATTTTCTAGAGTCTAACAAATTCTAATGAAGTGAAGAACTCGACAAACAAAGAACTCTAATAACATTAGGAAGCTAAACACTAAAAGACTCCTAACAATTCCTCCATTAAACTGAATGTTATGAGCACTCAGTTTATCTTAGACTTAAAACAAACTCCCAACAATTCTCGCAACTTCAAGAAGACATCCAGCCTAAGGGGCTTAGTCATCACATCAGCTAATTGTTCCTTTGTACCGCAGTAAACTAGATCCACAGTATCATCTTTTGTGAGTTCTCGCAGGAAGTGAAAACGCATATCTATGTGCTTGCTGCGACCATGCATAACTGGATTTTTTGAAAGTTTATTTGCAGAACTATTATCACAGTGAATAATAGATGTCTTGCCTTGATTAGGATCCAACTTTTCTAATACCCTCTTCAACCAAACAGCTTGGCATGCACATGAAGCAGCATCTATAAATTCTGCTTCTGTAGTAGATAAACTCACTACTGGTTATTTCTTTGAAGACCAAGATGCTGCCCCTGAGCTTAATAAAAATACATAGCCTGATGTGCTTTTTCTATCTTCCAAATTGCCAGCATAATCGCTATTAGTGTAACCAACAAGTTCATCATCTCCTCCCTTCCAGTAAAATATGCCAAACTCAATTGTCCCCTTTAAACACCTTAATACCCTTTTTGCCGCCTGTAAATGAAGTTCAGTGGGATTCTCCATATATCTGCTAATAAGGCTCATCACAAACATCATATCCGGTCGAGTTGCCGTGAGATACATGAGACTACCTATAATTTGCTTATAATAAGTCTTATCCACCTTGATCCCATCCGCATCTTTCATAAGCTTAGAGCCAGGAACAATTGGATTATGGATAAAATTGATTTTATCCATCCCAAACTTCTTTAAAAATTCCATTTGATCTTTGATAAACTTCCAAACCAAGGAAATATCTCATTCTTCCAAGGTCTGTCATGTCAAACTCATACTTCATGGAACCTTAAAATTCGGCAAACATTAACTCATCATTGCCAGTAAATATAAGATCATCAACATATAAACTTACAATTAATATTTTTTCATCTTTACTTGTCTTGATGAACAATGAATGCTCGTAGTCACACTTTTCAAAACCTTCCTTCATGAAATAGGCTTCTATGCGGCTGTACCAAGCTCGCGGCGCTTGCTTAAGCCCATAAAGTGCCTTTTTTAACTTATATACTTTCTGTTCATTTCCCCTCTGCACATAACCACAAGGTTGTTCCACAAAAATATTTTCATGCAAGAGGCCATCCTCTTAGAGCTACAAGTGCAATTACCAATCGAATTATCTCCATGCACGCCACAGGCGCAAATACTTCTGTATAGTCTACCCCATGTTGTTGGACATACCCCTTCACGACAACCTAGCCTTGTATTTATTTACTTCTCTATTTTCATCAAATTTAGTTTTATAAATCCACTTAACTCCAATTTTTTTCCCTCCTTCAGGCAAATCTATTAATTCCCATGTACCATTTTTTTTTATTGCTTCCATCTCGACGTCCATGGCATGCTGCCACTTTTCATTATTCACGGCATCTTCAAAGTAAATAGGATCAGTATTAGTGGCTGCAAACATAACCATATCACTTTCTTATTCTGAGATGGCGTCACCTATTTCATAGTCTTGCATCCAAATCGGTGGTAGCCTAGTCCTCTGTTGTATCGAAGTAGAGGATTGATGGTCTAAAGACAAAGGGTCAGAGGAAGGTAGTATTTCCTCTGTTTCTTCCGAACCAGGTTCATTATCTTCCCTTATCTCGGTAACAGGAACTGGTTGAGCTGCTTCCTCTTCGCGTTGAGATGTTTCCTCGTCACGTTCATCCCATTCCAGGTCACACATAATTGCTTTTTCATGCTTGTTATCCCAATCCCATCTCATGTCTTCTTCAAACACGACATCCCTGATTATAATGATCCTTTGTGAAATTGGATCATAAAGTCTATAAGCTTTTGATTGCTCACTGACTCCCAACAAAATATAATACAAACTCTTGTCATCTAGCTTTGATCTAGTATTATCAGGCACATGAACATGAGAAAGGCAGCCAAAGTACTCAACTGAGGGCTTTTATCCACTCCATGCTTCCTCTGGTGTCTTATTTTTTACTACCAATGTCGGACTCCGATTCAAGACATGGACTGTCCAATTGACTGCTTCAGGCCAAAAAGTCTTGGGAAGTTTCTTCTCTGATAGCATGCTATGGACCATATTCATAATAGTTCTATTCATTCGCTCTGCGACCCCATTTTGTTGCGGCGTGTATGGAGTTTTCAATTGTCTCTTTATTCCATTTTCATCACAAAAGCTAGAGAATTCTTGTGAAGTGAATTCTCCTCCCCGATCTGTACGAAAGCTTCTAATAAAAGAATTCGTCTCTTTTTCAATGTGAGTCTTAAATCTTTTAAAAATAGCAAAGGCTTCAGACTTCTCAGTCAATAAATAAACCCATAATTTTCTGCTAAAATCATCAATGAATGTGAGCAGATACCTCTTTTTGCTATTAGATATAGGCTTGATCGGACCACAGATATCAGTGTATATTAGTTGTAGAACTTGTGAAGCTCTCCAATTGCTCTTCTTTGGAAATGGATCACGTTGTTGCTTTCCCACCAAACAGTCTTTGCATAGTTTCAGAGGAGACTTGAGTTGCGGCAAACCATGCACCATGCCTTTTTGCTGAAGAATATGTAAGCCTTTAAAGCTTAAGTGTCCATACTGACAATGCCAAAGTTGCACTGCATCTTCCGTAATAGTATTGAAACAAGCAGATGCTATAGGTCGAGATACAGCATGCACGACAAACATCATGTTTGAAGTCATTTGTGTCTCCATAATTAAGCCTCTGTCAGGATGACACACCTTACATTGACCGCGTTGAAACAAAATATCAAGCCCATTTTCTTGTAACTGTCCAATACTCAATAGATTATTTTTCAGTTCTGGTACATAAAACACACTTGTGATAACCTGTGTTGTTTCCTTCACCTGAAACCTTATATTTCCCTTTCCTATTATACTCAAGCTTAAATTGTTACCCAACTTCACTGAATCTCTAAAACTTCCATCAAAATCGAAAAAATATTCCATCTTTCTGCATATATGATTACTGCATCCTGAGTCAAGAAACCATGTGTCTTCATTGTTAGCATCACCTGAATCAACATACGCTATCAACAACATCTCTCCTTGAGTTTCTGCATAATTGGCCGTTTTTTGCTTTTGTGGACACTCCCATTGAAAATGTCCAAGCTTGTGACAGTTGTAACACTCCACTATAGCTTTGTCAAATCTGCCTCTTCCCCTTCCACGACCTCCCCTTCCAAAGCCTCAACCCCTTCCACCAGATTGTTCTCCATGAGCAATCTTTAAGGCTTGTTCATCCGCAACTGGAGAGCTCATGCATTTTTCATGCACAAGCAGACTGCTTTGCAACTCATCAATAGTTATCGTGCTTGTATCCTTGGATTCCTCAATGGAACATACAACATAATTGAACTTGGGAGTCATGGATCTCAAGTTCTTTTCCACGACCCCTGCATCTCCCTTGTTTTCACCATTTGCTTTTAACCTATTAGCAATGGTGAGAGTTCGAGCAAAAAAATCATTCACGGTTTTCCCTGCTTTCATGTGCAGAATTTCAAACTCTTTGCGAAGAGCTTGCAATTGTGCTCTCTTAACTCGTGTATTACCCTGATATTTTTGCTTCATAGAATCCCATATATCCTTTGATGTTTTATACGTCAATACCACACAAAAGGGGGGTGATTTGTGTGGTGTCTAATTTTTCGTATGCACAGATTATAGAAGGACCTGGTTCTTCTATGTGTTTTAACTACTACTGTTACGGAATAATAAGTACAGAAAATAAAGAACACAGAGATTTTTATGTGGAAAATACCTGGCTCAAAAGGTGAAAAAACCACGACCTACTTCCCAGTAGGATTTTCTCAAAACTCTTTACTGAATCAGTGAGCCAAAAACTACATTTACAAAACACTTTTGTAAACCTAGGATTAACTCTAACCCTGTTGTGGTACACAGCCTCTAACTGTTACGACAACTTCAAGTTAACTCTAACTTGAATACTCTGAGTACCTAGTACAATTGCCTCTAGATAAAGCTAAAAGGTACAATATGAAAACATCTACTACAATTGAAGTAGAATAAAAGACAGACACTTGGAACTGGTTCTTCTATCTAGTTCATGTAGCTTCAGGTTCGCACACTTGAATCACACACGAACTGCTTGCAAAATGCCTTGCTATTTTGCTCTCAATTCACGTTTAACTTCTGCTTTTGTGCGTCACCTATAGAATGAGAACATCCTGTGATTTATAGAGTTAGTAGAGTAGAAAATAACTAAAGTTCTAATGCTACTCTTCCTTGGTGAAAGAGTTCTAGTTAATCTCAACCTCTAACTCCTCCCTTATCTTGGATAATGTTCTCGTTGAGTAAGGAGTCCTTCTCCTTATCAATTATGCAATCTTTTCGATCAGGAGATATCTATTATTATGCCAGATTTCGTTTATCTCCTGCATGTGCATCTCACATGCTTTGAATCTGCCTGTGTCTATGCCTACCAGTGATGGACCTGGTTCATCCCTGAGTTCCTTTGTCAATCTTCAAAACTATCCTTTACTTGGGCCAACAAATTTCCTCTTTTTGATAATGACAAACCCTGTTCTTCCATAAGCTTAGGCCATATTTCAACTTAGCTCAACATCAACACAATGTTAGAAACATTTTTCTGACAAACTCTGTGCTTCCATAAGCTTAGGCCCTGTTTCAACTTAGCTCAACATCAACACAATGTTAGAAACATTTTTCATTTTTATCACTTATCATCAAGGACCATGTTCATTAGGTTATAAACATCATTGTTCAAAGTGTAAAGCACAACCTTTTTTCCCCTTTTGGCATCATCGAAAAGTTACATAAAAATGTGAGATAATCATATTTTAAAACTTACTCATGGCCACTGGGGCTACTTCAAATGCAATCATGGATTAATCATCATAGATCAAGCTAAGAATTCTAACCATCAAAGAAATATAAACAAACAGTTAGAGCAAAAACAGTGAATTTCATTGATGATTGATACGATTCTTTCACAAAGCATAAAAAGAAATAAAAATACTGAAAACATGAGCAAACAAAAAAAATCCCAAACTGGGTCACTGAAAGGTCTACACTGGGCTAAAAGTTTAAGGCTTTGAAGAACTGGGGGCTTAGTTTTTGGCTTGGAGAAGTTTCAACATGTCTTGAAGAATTCCATCATTCCTCTCCTATTATCTTGCTAGTTCAGTTCTAAGAGCATCTCTCTCAGACTCTACCTCAACCAACCTTTTCTTCAGCCTCTCAATCTCAGCATCCTTAGCCCCACTTTCTTGCACCAAGGCTCGCACGTTGCTATTCACTGGTACCTTCTTAGATGAACCAGGTTCTTTAGGAGTGACATGGGCTTCATAGTCATAAGCAGGCAGCGTATTTTGCCCCAAAATAATCCTTACTTGTACCAACCTCCCTTTCTTCTTTGGATTATAACTTTCAGTCACTCTCTTCGGTAGGTCTGCGAGGGTTTCCTGTTAAGATGAAACATGTTCATCTATATTTTTCCCAAGTTGAACCAGCCTTTCAGCGGCTTTGCCAGACCCACTTCCCTCTATTTTCTTTACACTCTCCTCTACTCCAGCAGATTTTTCTCCCCAAACAACCATTGCACCTGTGTCTTTGGTTAAACTCACAGGAGTGGGTGAAGAATCAGGCATTTTTTTACCCTTTCCCCTCACAGCACTTCGAACACCCTTGCTCTCTTTTTCTTTTTCTTTTTTCTTTTTTACCACCAATTCCTCCAGACTCTGTAGTTTCAATACCTGTTTTAGCCCCTACTAGTACAAACCTCTTCTCCAAATTTATTTTCTCCCCGCAACAACCTTGCGAGCAAGCATCTTAACTATTTTCTTAGAGGTTGGGGTAGTGGAAGATATGATAGTGGGTGTGGAAGTTTAATCAAACTGAATTTCAGTTTTGAAAAGACTTTGGAGTGTATCCCTAGAATCTAGGTACTTCAATTCGGTTGCGACTCTTTTGAACAGATCTGGTTCACTTGTAACGAATAAGTCCAAAAGGAGTTTGGAATTAAGTAGGACTCTGCCCATGATCCAAATATTATTATTTTAAATTATGCAGAGTGTAGAAAACATACTGTGTTATCTTGATGAACCAGGTTCTTCACTGATAATTCTCTTGTGTAAGTCTAAATTTGCCAAAATAGAGAACATATCATTAGAGATTAATGAGTCATTTTAATACATGGCACAAGAGTATACTATTGAAAGTATGAATCTGAGCAAAAATTAATCTAATTATATACACATTTCCAGATTTTTTAACCAAAACCAACAATTTTTTCTTTTCAATTTTTTTTTCGTTGTGAATTCTGAACTGATCCTTTTAGGTAATCTTAATCATCCCTAATTCTAACATGTTTCTTTCAAAGTGATCTCTACTTAGGGCTTTTGTGAAGATGTCAGCTATTTGTTTGTCAGTAGCAAAAATTCTACAGTGATCAACCCTTTTTCATAGTTATCCCTCAAAAAGTGATGCCTAACATCTATGTGCTTAGTTCTCTTGTGATGAACCGGGTTCTTGGTCATACTAATTGCACTAGTGTTATCACAAAAAATAGGGATACAACCAACATCAATTCCAAAGTCCATTAATTGTTGTTTGATCCACAACAATTGAGTACAACATGAAGCAGCAGCAACATACTCAGCTTCAGCAGTAGATAAGGCCACTGAATTTTGCCTTTTGGTGGCCCAAGACACAAGACATGAGCTAAGAAAGTGTGCCATACCTGAGGTGCTCTTTCTATCCACAAGAAAACCTGCATAATCAGCATCAGCACATCCTACAAGATTGAAATTACTACCTTTTGGATACCAAAGACAAAGATCAGGGGTGCCTTTTAGATATCTCAACATTCTCTTGACAGCAGTCAAGTGAGACTCCTTTGGATTTGCCTGAAATCTTACACAAAGGCCTATACTGAAGACAATGTTAGGTCTACTAGTAGTGAGATACAACAATGAGCCAATCATTCCCCTATACAACTTCTGATCAACAGATGAACCAGGTTCATCTATATCCATCTTTGTAGCATTTGCAATAGGAGTGTCAATTTCTTTGGAATTTTCCATTTTAAACCTTTTAAGCAACTCTTTTACATACTTATGCTGATGGATCATAGTTCTATTTGGAGTTTGTTTAATTTGTAAGCCTAAAAAGAAATTAAGCTCACCCACCATGCTCATTTCAAATTCACTCCCCATTAGTTTAGCAAATTCTTTACTTAACTTATTAGTAGTTACTCCAAAGATTATATCATCAATATATATCTGAACTACCAAGAGATCTTTACCTTTTTCTTTCAAGAATAAAGTATTGTCAATTTTACCTCTCTTGTAGTCATGCTCAAGCAAAAACTTTGATAATCTTTCATACCATACTCTTGGAGCCTGCTTGAGCCCATAAAGTGCTTTGTCAAGTTTGTACACATGATCAGGACTCTCCTTGCTTTCAAACCCTGGAGGTTGTTTGACAAACACTTCTTCCTTTAGATAGCCATTGAGGAAGGAACTCTTGACATCCATCTGGTGGAGGTTGAATTCCATATAAGCAGCAAGGGCTATGACGAGTCTTATTGCTTCCAACCTTACAACTGGAGCAAAGGTTTCATCATAGTCTATGCCCTCCTCTTGGCTATATCCTTGAACCACCAATCTTGTCGTGTTCCTTGTAACAGTTCCATCTTCATCAAGTTTGTTTCTGAAGACCTATTTTGTGCCAATTACTGATATGTCCAAGGGTCTTGGCACCAGATGCCAAACTTGACTCCTTTCAAATTGGTTGAATTCATCTTGCATTGCATTTACCTAGTCTGCATCCTGCAAAGCCTCAACAACATTTTTAGGTTAAATAAGAGATAAGAAAGCATCAAAAGCACAAAGATTCTTTAATGAACATATGGTTTTGATTCCAAAGGTTGGATCAGTAATTATGTTCTCAATGGGATGAGAACTTTGATACTTGTAAGGTTTCACAACCAACTGGTTTCCCCTTGATGTTCCTTCAATGCTTTGTTGTTATGGAACAGCTTCATGGACAGGTTCCCTTGAGGTTTGAGAATCATTTCCTCTTTGTTCTATTCCCTGTGTCAGGTTGCCCTGGGTAGAAGGACCTGTTCCATCACGTGTTCCTTCTTCTAGTGCAGCTTCAGTCTGGGCTGTGGTTTCATTTATGTTTCTTAACAGCCCAATTGCTTCATCATCATGTTCCTATCTCTCAGAAAGAATGTTAGTTTCATCAAAAACCACATGAACACTTTCTTTATCACACATAGTTCTTTTGTTATATACCTTATATGCTTTACTATGTGAAGAATATCCCAAGAATACTCCCTCATCACTTCTGGGATCAAACTTGCCTAGGGAGTCTTTACCATTATTGTGCACAAAGCACTTGCATCCAAATGCCCTAAGATGGGATATATTTGGTTTTCTCCCTTTAAGTAACGCATAAGGATTTTTCTCAACAAGAGGTCTAGTCATGCACCTATTTATGATGTAGCATGCAGTATTTATAGCTTCTGCCCAGAAGCTATGGGGTAGTTTACTAGAAAGAAGCATAGTCCTAGCCATATCTTC